AGCTAAACAGGAACATCCAGTTTCAGTTTCCATTTTTCTACCCACTCACCTAGTCCTAACAAGGTAGGCAAGAGAAGCTCCAAATCATAACTGAAACTGTTCATAAATGCAGAGTACTGTATTTTGGAGGAAAATCTAATTCTGTACTTTACACAGATTGTCCAATTAAACTGACTCACAAAAGGAATATCAGCATTCTAAGCATCAATGTGAACAGCTTAGTTGAGACATCTTTGTGTAAATGTCCAAGTCAGAAGCCAATTAACAGCAAAAGCAAATAAAAACAGAAAGAAAGTTAAAACAGAGTTCTTAGTACAAATCAGGTGTTTTCTTTCTCTGCAGTACCAGTGTGTTTCCTGGACCAGCAGAATATGAGTGATTATGCTTACTGACAAGAAAAATTAGAATGGGTGTCAAACACCATACTTTAGAATGAAATAACTGTGTGTTTGAAGTCAGAGTAAAATCCACTAAGAAAGCAGGTATGCGGAGTCTATACTGTCTCTAAGAGTATCTGGTACTATTCGCACACAGAAAGAAGACCAGATAATTTCTGAGTCTGGTATAATAACAATAATTCCTGTGTATTTTCACATTTTCACCCAGACTTATAAATCTGGGTGAAAAGAAATCGGCTGTCTTTTATATTGGAAAGGCATGAGCTATTAAGCAGAGGCAAAAGTTGTTTGTACAGAGGCTAGTCACATAAAACAATCCAAGTATATAAAGCAAAACTACAGACAGAAATCAAGGAATTGCACTAAGACTTGTGTGTAGCAATTAAGCACTTGTGGGTTACAATGTCAGTTAATAAAGAATAGGAAAAGTACCCCTATCAGTGGGAAAGTGAAGTGGTAATGGCACAGAAGGTCTACAAGCATCAATTTAAAAGCTAATGCTCTGTACGTCTCTTTTTTTTTTCTATACATCCCTTATCTTCTTCTGCCCATGCTACTCCCAGATTTTACTCACTGCTCAGAAAAACTACCTTCTCCCATCTAAAGTTCCTGTAGCACCAATCATCTAAGAGGCATGCAGCGGCTGGGTAAGAAAAGGGCAAGAACAAGAAGAGAAAATAGCAGGTACAAAGAAATGGAAGCTTGTCTTCTCTCTGTGTTCTGTAGATCAAAGACAGTTTATGTCCATTTCAATTTCACCCTGTAGGCCCCACTCTGAAGATCAAACCTGCATTATAATCAGCATTGGAGGCTTACAGGTTTTGAGTGGCTGATACCAGACCTACCCTACTTCACCTGCACTGGAGTTTGAAGTCCTAAGAAGTGACTAAACATATAATGATACCAGCTGGCAGACATAAGTTGTATTAATAACACTTAATAAGATTATTGAGCATAATCTGTATCATTATTCATATACATCCATTTGCACATATATGAGTTGATACATGACATAATGTAGCTCAACTTCAGATGTAGAACCTCCTCCTGTGAAACATCAACTTAATACCCTGTTGTAGCACTTCAGCGGAAGGACAAAACCTTATCACTTAGTGCTGATGACTTTATTAACAGAACAGTTTAATTATTTCCCAGTAAACCATGCCAGATTCTACTACTAAGTGATATATCTAGGAGATAACACAGATTTCACAAAAGAGACCACATCAATCCCTGGAACTTTCCTTCTTGCTCCACTAGTTATTAAGTTTTCAATACCACTGACTTTACCTAAAATTTAAAAAGTGAACAGTCCTACTGAATTTATATACATTTGCTTAAAATTAAGCAAATGTAAGTCTGCAGAACAGAGTCCAGCACTACACAAATCACCTTCAAACTTGATGAACTTACATGATTCAGTTTGCATGTTACAGTTTACCTCAGCTTACATAAATTAATCAGATTTTTCTGCCACCTTTCACAACATTTGTAAGGTGTACTCCATGATATTTATATGTTACATTGGACCTACAATAAACAACATGATTTTTCATTTAATTATTAGATGACATGTTGTTCTCAGAATATAGCTGGGTGTTGTATGCCAAGTGCCAACAGCAAATAATACAGGTTCTTCCTGTTCTGGGAGAAACCAAATGGGAGCATCTTCTTATTTGTTCACTGAGACTCCATTAAGTAAAATGTATTCACATAACTATTAGTGGGACAAATATGCACTCTGTAGTAATTTCTTATATTTCTGACTTTGACTTCTTAAAACTCAGGTGTCTAAATCAAGAGTAGCTGAGGATATGAACTGAAAATCTGAACTGTTTATCAGTATTGTTACTGCTTATTATTATTAGACTTTGTTTTTTAAATTGTGAAATAGGAGAACTGCTTAGGCAGATACACTTCAGACACAGGAGCCCAGCTTAACACTGCCTGTTACGAGATCTCCTGATGTCCATTAGAAGATTTAAGATTTCAGTAGTAAACATACATTTTTCTTCCTACATGCTTCAGTCTTCCAGAGTGCACTTTCTCATTTAAATAGCTTGCTTGCTATGGATGTTCCTACTTAGCAAGTAAGAAGTTTGAATGATACCATGGACTGTATTAAAAAGATGGTTGTTAATTTGACCTTGCTTTATCAGAGAAACTAGACACAGTACTATTAGTACAGGCAACAGAACTGCTACTCTTTGTTTCTTCCAAGTTACCTTTCCACCTCTAGCTTTTACACTTGAGATATGTTTGAATTAACATTGCTCTTATTTGTTACTTTAGAAAACCCTCACAGTTGACTTGTACCAAGAATATCAAGAAAGAAGTATGGCTGCAACGTATAAAGCATTGAAATGCAGCAGATCTCAAACTGAAGGGGAAAAAAGGAGCTTTTGTCACAAAAACATTTGATCAGTGTGGATGATTTTATCAAGGATATGCTTAGCCATGACTGCTGTTGGAAACTGATGAAATAATGGATCAATAAAAATCTCATGTTTTGACCTAAGTGCCCATTTGTCGATCACGTTTAAAAAGTTATTCTGAAAAAAAACAACTTTCAGGAGTCGAGGCAGCAGAAGACAAAGTGGAGATCTGGATGCATTAGACAAGTTTCTCAGAAAATTATAAGCACATGTGAAATCATTTCAGGAAAAGTTAGAAGAGAAATAAAATATGTACTGGGTCATAGTATTGGCTAGTGTCAGAAAGTGGGCTAAGGACACTGAGCAGACAAACAGCAGAACACCAGTCACACAGACATGCAAACAACAAAGGTCAGCACGGCCCCAGTTGATGGACAGTTCATGGAAACAAAGTTAGGCTGTACTAGATAGAAACTTCTGTGGAAGAGTACAACCAACCTAAGCTTAAAGAGGGAAGAGGAAAAGCAGTCAGTATCATAACATTCCTGATCTCTGTGCTGATATTGAGATTAAAAGTACCAGCAAAACTGTACTACAAAGATTCATAAACCTGAAAATTCAAAGAATTTTCCTTTTTGCAATTATTTTAATATAAGAAGTTTATTTTGATACCAAAAGTACCTCTTTTTTAGGTTCTCATACTCACCTACTCTCAAAGTATCTAAGATTTTAAAAACAAAAGTATTTTCACAAACATTCACCTTATAAAACATGAATTAATTAATGCTGGGTGATTCTGCTATATACTGAAGATCTGAAATAATTCAAATAGTTGACAATTCCTCCCACCCACACCAAAACCACCAATGCACAGCATGCATTTTAAAGCAGGGAGATTACTGATGCATCTAAGGTCTCAAAACAAGTGGCAGAGAACTAAGTCCAACAGTTGTGACCCTAATGATCTAAAAGAATGCTAACAATTTGAGAGTTTGAGACTTCAGCTTTTACAACATAACATAAACTTGCTTTAAAATGTCTGATGATACCAAGCATAGCGAAAGAGAGCAAGAAAGAAGAGTATATGTGGTGATTCAGAATGAAGAACCAGGGATTACCTCTCAAATGGCAGCTTCAGACCTCCTACTCCAGGCAGGAATAGTTGGAAGAAATAGGAGTACCTGATAAATGGACTGACCTATGTGCACACTTTTGTGCTACACTAAAAAAAAGCACAACATTCACAGGTATTCACATGTTTTTAAAAGCCTGTATGAGAACATTTTTCAAGACTAAAAATAAATACATTGATTCCACCTACATTTTGATCTGCGTTTAAATGTAATCAGAGAAATAGTTTTGTCATTTCAGTGTTAACCATGGCATCAATACAGGCTTTCACTATATAACCAACCAGTTCCCACAGAAAGTAGAGACACTTCATATACATTATCAGGCGTCTTTCTGAGGGATATGACCACAGGGGAAGATCCAGTGTAAATACAGTTATGCTGGCATGGGTGTTTTTGCTGGTATAGCTCGACATGCCAATCTGTTATTAAGTCTGCTGGAGAAAGCACCAGCGCAGGTATAACTGGTTTTTGTGGGACAGAGCTAGCTGGTATCTCCTGCTGTACCTGGCATGGCTCTGCTCTTTATAGGCATTATTTTCCTGTACTTACACAGGTGACAACTCATTCCACCCTCTGCCTGACAGCCAACCTTGGCAGATCCTCTCACTGCACCAACAAAAAAAAAAAAAAAAAAAAGAGAAAAGACAAGGTGTTGCAAAACCTACATCAAAGTTTTTCTGAATTTTTAAAACCTTTTTTTTTTTAAAGTTTTATTTTTATTCCGTCGTTACTACATTTACAAGCCATTTCTAGCACGCACTCAGGAATCACACTGTACCCCCACACAAAGAGCCCCAGGATAGTGGATGCCCGGAGCCCTCTCGGCAGGAGGAGGTGCCTGGGCACATTAACCCGCGGGCCGCGGGGGAGGCTCGGCTCGGCCGCTCAGCCCGACCTCCGGGCGAGGGCGGCCGGCGACAGGCCCGGCCCCGCCGGCGCGGGAGGAAACGCCTCTTCCTCCCCTCCCCTGTCCGTGGGGTCCGCCCGCTGCCAGGGGCTGCCAGGGAGCGGTAATTGCCGCCCCGGCCTTGCACAACCCGCTCCCGGCGCGGCCCGTCCCGCCGGCGGCGCGGGGCCGGGCGGCACCGCCCCCTCCCGGCATCCCTCGCTCGGCTGCTGGGCTCGGCTGCGCTCGGTCGGCGGCTCCGCGCTGCTCTCGCCATGGCCGCCTACAGCAAGTTCCTCACCGCGCGGCACTCCGCCATCGCCGGGGCCGCCGCCACCTGCGCGCTGCTCTGCCTGCTCAGCAAGCGGCGGGCGGCCGCGCAGCACGGGTGAGCGCCGGGCCGGGCCGCGGGGCGGGAGGGGCCGGGCGAGCCGCGGGGCCGGCGCCGGGAGGCCGAGGCTGCGGGGGCAATGCTCGCCCTCACGGCCCTGGCCCGTCGGAGGGGCAGCCGCGCCCCTGTGCCACACACAGGGCGCTGCCACCGCTGCCATCTGCCCGGGAGACGGCTCCTGGGCACAGGGACAGCCTGCTTCTCCCCACGCCTTCTCCGGCGTCGGGTCTATGCCCGTCTTGCGAGCATCCAACCCCCGCCGCCTTGTTACCCAAATTATGTTGGCTTTTTCTATTTTCCCGACTAGGAATGAGTATTGACACTTCTAGGGATGACCGTGTCTGCATAGGCAGTTAATGGACTCAGCTGTTGTTTGAATGCCGCCGTGTGACAATAAGATACACGGGCAGTGATTTCAAAGCGGCCGAATGTGGTGATGTTCTCTGTGAGGTTGCCTTACAGGTATATGGTTCTAGGGTGTGTATTCGTTAATGCCTTACAAAGCACTGGTATTGCAAAGTGTGACAGTCGAAGAATGTATCGCAGGCTTAGCCCTTTCACGGTTTTACTGTATTTGAGATTGTAAGTTGTTAACTATATGCTTAAGACCTGAGGTGTTGCGATATTACTGTGCCTACAGGTGTCTTGTAAGCACTACCAAATACTGAGATGGACTTACTCAACAGACTTAAGTAATAACATACCTGAGATTAAGCAAGGATCCAGTTTTATTTTACCTAAGTCCACTCATGCACAATATCTGTGGGAGTTTAATGAAGTTGGGTAACTGTCACACAACATGGCAGACATTGTTACCCTGCTGGCAAGTCATACATTTGCTACCTTAACTGTTTCTTGCATGAGAGTTTAAACAAGATCCTGAGCTATGGCTGCGAGTTGCTCTTCTATCAGACTCATAGGGAGGAGTGATTTTTTTCAAATATCTCTGCCTAAGTTAGTGAAATCCCACTTTCAAAAAGCAGAAGAGCTGTGTGGAAGGGCACAAAAATGATGACCTCAGGTTTTCATGCCTAGTATAGTGGTGGTTGTAGGAAATACTGGGCCATGCAGATGTTCCAGGAGCAGTTATATGTTAAGTTTAGACCAAGAATGTCTAAAGTGAATGTCAGTTGTCCACACTTCCCTTACTTTGCCTTCATTGAGGAATGATCTTGGAGCACACAAACATTCAGATTGGAGCACATTTTCAGAACAGATGCAGGTCCAGTTTAGTTTTGAAGTGCATTTAATATTTTCCCACTGTTAGTAGCATTCATTTGATAGAAACAGGCTAGAACTTGTCCAGGGTCATCTCCCTATACTTGAAATAGATATTATGTGGGTCCTGTGCTGTCCCCATTAAACTGTTTTGCTTTCATGTCTTCTGATGTTGATCTGCAGGACTTGACGATGGCAATGCATGCGTTAGTTTGGGGGTCAGTGTATGGAAAGTGTCAGCCTAAATGCTGAAGACTCTTTGGAATGTGTCTTTCCTGTGTGGATCTTCAATTTTGTTAGGTATAGTGTTAAAAAACTGAGGTATTCAGATATATTAGGTGGACCAAACATTATTGCAAGATTATTGGGAATTGGGAAAGGAGGATAACTTATGAATTACATTCCAGCAAATTCAACAGATGTGTGAACTTGTGAGAGCCTGACTTGATCTGTCCCTTCTGCTCTCTCTGTACTGCAGTCTTTCTGATACCTTGTCCTTTACTTCTGTAATCTCTTTAGTCATTTTGCATTCTTGAATTTATTAGAAATGCAGTTGCTAAAGCAAGTGCCATGCTTACAAATTTGATTTTTCACTTGTGTGTATGTATTGTTTTACACTTTTGAGTCCCTCCACAGCTTAGGTCTTATTTACTGCTGCTACTGTATTGTGGCCATGGATTCCAAGCTCTAACATCCAACATTCGGTTGTTTCAATAATAGCTGTGCTGCTGCTTGAATGCTATTTTGAGGATGGTTTTTGCCCACTGGTCTTCGTTCTTTTCTCCATGTTTCCCTGTGAGGCAAACCTTGCCAGGAGCCTTACAGAATGCTACCTATCAAGACTAGGCAGTAGGTAAGCTACATTGCCTATATCACCAGCCTAGACAAAAGCATCTGGTTATTACCATCGCCTCATCCTCCTTTAGTCTCATTAGTTCATGTATCATTCATTTCTTCATGTTTTGTTGCCAATGTAAATTAGAGAATACTTTTGAAAAGGATTGTCTTCGTGCCACATCTTTACGTTTTCAGCATTCTTGTGCTGGTATATGATGCTGACATATGGTAACAAGTGCACAACCTTTGAAATCTGCAGGGCTTGGTGTGTCCTTTAATATCTGTGTTTTATATCTCTGACTCTCTGGGAAGAGGAAGAAGTTGGGAAGGCATGGCTGTCCTAAATTTTTGTACTTATTCCTAGGGTGAAGAATTTCACTTGGCAATCTAGATAGTCTGGAAGAGGACTGGTAGTGTATCTGCTGCTTGAGGTTAACTGGCTTAAATCTGTGAGGTGATTTAGTTTTTTGTGTGTGAATTCCTTTGTTAACCTTGGTGTATAATGCCTGAAAATGTTGTGCCATGTCAGTGTGAGGTGAATTTCAACTTCTTGAATTCTGGAAGGTGAAATTCTAGTTTTGAGCTTTGTAAGGGCAAAGGTAAATGTTGCAGACCTGAATATAACCAGCAGAATGCTGGGCTTAACATTCAGGTGAATCAATGAAGTGTTCTAGTGCAATTGTGAACTTTACCTGCAAAACTTCTTCCTTCCTCACATAGTTTCAGAATACATTCTTGTACATACTTTGTGTTCAAAATAACATTTCATGTTTTCCTATTATTTCATGTATTTCTGGAGTTCCTGCTATTTTTCTGTTTGATTTTTGCGTGCTTTTTAAAGTTTTGCTGGAATGTCAGCAGTAGGTTTGCTGCTGGTTAAACTTGGAAAGTAAAATAACATACGAATTGAGAAAAAGATTTGCTAAATCCTTTAGCAAATCGGGTGTGTTTGAATGTGTAACATGAAAGTTATGTCACAGGCCTGTCATGTTGTATGTGTTTGTTTTTATATAGAATAACCAGTTTATAGGATGGAGAAGTAGCAACTTTAACCTACTTTTCTGCTGTCAAACAATAGGGGCAAAGTTCAGTACAACTCATATAAAGTAGTAATGTATGAATAATTAAGCTGTATGTGTTATGCCAACCTGCCTTACTAGGTCAAAGATCACTTAATTAGTACTGCCTGGATTAGTCACAGATGTTTTCTGTAAGAGGTATTACACTGCTCATTGATTTTGCAGAACTGAGAGGTGGTGTCACTTGCAGTTTACAAGACCTTATTACTACACTTTTCTGAAATCTTCCCAAGTAGAGTGATGTAGAACTGTTTATTTAACTTGTTAGTTTTCAATCTTACTTCCTTGGAATAAAACATGGAGGAAAAATACATTGGTTCTTTTTCAAAGTTGCTCTCAAAAACTCTGTTTCCTTACAAAAGCTGTGTGTCCTCTTGGAAGGGGAAAGTTGTGGTATCTAAATGCAATTATGACTTCAATTGTAGTATTTGGGTTTTTTAGAGTAATGAGAAGTTCTTTGAGAAAAACTACATTATCCTGGGTTTATAATGCAGGAAAAAAAAAGTCTGTTTACTCTCTTTCCCTAATCTTGATTGAAACAAGAAGTTACAGAATATTTGCTTAAGATTTGATTGCTTCATAATTAAAACCTTAAGGGGTGTTACATAAAGGAGCTGGATATTTTTCATTACCCCTCTAATAAGAACTTTTCCTGAGTATCTGTGTAGTTTAAAATAAAGTACTTACACAAGTAGAGAATGAACTTGGCTTACTTTGAAAAAGATGATCTTTAACTCATACAACTTATTGCTGGAAGGAGGGACTGAAAGAGGTTATAGAAGTTAGTTGGGGTAAAGAGTTTGAAACTGCAAGGTTAGGGAAAGGGAATAAACAGTTTAGAGTAATAGGAAGGCATTTGTAGTGAATGAGAAGGTGACAAAATATTTTAGAATCTGCTTGTAGGGCCTTTCCTATCACCTAGTTGCATTCATTAAAATCCAAGCAGATGCTAAGACATGAACACAATTTAATATAAACTGAACTTGGAAACCCCTGTGATGGTGTCCCACCTCTGGGGAAAAAATGAATAAAGCAAGAATAGTGCCTGGGCCCTTAGAGGTTAGGCAAGCCTGGAGTGAGGGGAAGGCTCATTGAGTGGAGGGAGGCTGAGTTGCAGACAGTGTGTATCAAATAGGGTTTGCACAGTTCATCTTGGGTGACACTTAACCTGTGCTCCTGCCTGTCACTGTGCTCCTCAGCCGTTGTCTGCTGACAGAGTGGCAGCACGTGTCACTCGTGCCGCCCCCTCAGGTGTCCCTGCTTGTGTCCTCAGCTGCACAGCCTGTGAACGTGCAGTGGCAGTGACAGTGTTGCAGTCAGAGGTGACAGACACATGTCTAAATGCTCAGAGCTGCTTCCAAACATAAAATAGCAGTTTAGATATAGCAAGTGGTAGTTGTAGCTTGAAACAGATGGTGCATTTTTATTCCATTTGTGTATATTTAGGATGTTCTTCTCTCTTGTTAGTTTGTGTAATTTCTCTAGATTCTGAATGTCCTTGGGTGGGCTTTGCCAATGTACTTCAAATGGAGGGACCTGTTCTAGTTGAGTCATGGCTGTTTGATAGGAAGGGTGAAATTACATTGCTGCAGATTGATAGACTGCTTTTGTGTATGTAAAAACCTTTAAGGGAACCTGTGTTACTTGAAGGAAAGGTGGCAAGTAACAAAAACAACTTTATGCTAACTACATTGGAGTAAATTTTTCCAGATGTGAATGTGACTGTTCAGTCTGCTGCTTGCAGGAAGTGCACTAGCGTTGAGGGGGAAAAAAGACTAAATATGCAGATAGGATTACTAGAAAATATACTGAAAATGCAGTCTTGTAGAAAAACCTGCCTGGGGCTCAGGAAACCTGAATTCAGCTGGAGGGTATGGAGACAGGAGAAACCAGATGACTCAGCCCTAATCCTAGCATTTAGACTGCCTTTGTTTGGGGCCTGGCTAGCTAATTAGTGGTTTCTCTCTTAATTAAGTTGCATAAAATGCTTGCTGTCTAAGGGAAGATCTAGTATAAGTGTGTATGACAGTGTATAACTTTTTTAAAAAATTATTTAAAAATTTTTTTAGGAAACTAGCTAGAAATCTTTTTCCACTGTTATGAAGGAGATCTGCAGCCACAGCTCAGGCCCAAGCACAGCTTAAGACAAAATTAATAGTGCTGAGGTTTTTCTTGTATGTAAGATATATTATTGAGATGCATTCTTCTACTGGAACTTAGAATTTCCTCTCCAACAGTTCTGCTTTGTCTTCTTCTCATAGGTTTGTAGAAACCTTTTGAGCTTTAGCAATGCAGAGCTCCTGTGTGCAGTAACAGCTCTGTGACCTTCTGAGTCCCCTTCTTGCTTGCCTGAACACATTCCTCTCACATTATTTTTGGTTAAGCTGCAACTAGCCACCAATCTAGAGCCAAGAAAGTTCTGTTCTTGGTTTCTGTGTGTGCTCAGAGTGTACTGTGTAAATGGGCATGCTTTTGGACTGTGCCCAGGCTTCTGAGTAGGGTTGCTGCCCTTGACCTGAAATAACTGTACTGTTGCTCTCTACCCCTCTGTGTGAGCCGTGCACTATGAAACTCTGCCTGCCAGTTATCTACACCAGACTTTTCTCACTGTAATTTCTTCGCACTGTTGCATTGCATCTTTAGCCATTTGAATTTTATTCTCTTTACAATGTCTTAGTGACTCCAAAACTAACCTGAGAACTGCACAAATAATCATGAACTATTGCAAAATTGTTTATTTTGTGTGATTTTTGGAAGCTGTGAAAACTTCACGGTGCCATTCCAACATGTAAGGTCTGCAGGATACAAAGGTTGCCTAGAGGTAACAACTCTTTGAAATGCTGCACTAAATCCTAAACCAGATACTCTTTCTTTGCACTGTGTTGAGCAGATGCAAGTCATCCTAACTCCACAGAAGGAAGGTAGCATGACGTGAATGAAATTTGTAGGTTTTTTTTCAGTTAAGGACAGTGTAACACTTTAAAGCCCTTACTTCCTCATAATGTGCCATTAAACAGCAAGTCTTGCTTATCACCCTCTTCACTTGCAATTCCCTGTTGTGCTGAGCTCAGTGTAGATTGCTTCCTCTGAACTTTGTTCTGGATGGAGACAGGTATTTCTAAAGACAGTAAACCTTTAACTTTTTCCTGTTTGTGAGTAAATGCCACAGAACTAGTGTGCCTGAGACCTTTCAGTAAGAAGACTCAGGCCTCTTGGAGGATTTTCACAGTTTCTCAAATCATTATCTTCTTCAGTAGTGTTGAGAATGATTCTGTTCGAGTAACCAGTATTACTGCATGTTTCTTTAGAGAGAATAGCCTCACTGGTGTGTAAATAGAGTCACAAGAGCCAGTGCTCTGACCAGTCCTTCTCTGGAGACTGGAATTGCATGATTTCTCCATCCCCACCGGGCTTCCATACTGCCCTTGAAGTTGGATCAGCTGTCTGATGCCTGTACCGAGTCCCAAAATTCCATTAGTTTCTTTAAAGCATCTTGCTGGTATGGGCTGATCGTGTTTCTCGTTTTGCAGGAGAAAGGTGTTTTGTTGTATTGCCTCCTGCCTACTGAGTAATTACTTACTTCCTTCTCTTTAGAGAGTTGCTATTCAGTTACCATGCACGTGTGAATGACAAGTTTGGTGTAGTTGTGTCATCCCAGGTGCTGCTGATGCCTTTCTTTGCTTTTTATATCTGTGTTTGCTGTAAAAGCCCTGTGCATTTAAATAATGGGTAGCAGGCTACATCTGAAATGCTGCTTTTCCTGAAACTTCTTCAGGGGATATGTGTTCCATTATACCTCTAGACTCTTTATGGTCTTAAAAAAATTTTACACATTGAATTGACTGCTTTGACTGCTTTGTGGATAGCTTTGTGCAGTTAGATCTTGAAGATATATGGTGACAAGTTCCACTGTTTTTGATTCACTATTAGAAATGTTTTGCTACTATATTTTTTCCTCATTTTTTCCTAATGTTTTCTGGATAACCCTTTTCAAAAACCTTTTCATTGTCATCCCCCCTTGTCTGTGAGGGCACAAAGGAGCAATGGCTCTGTACCAGGGGAGTTACTTGCACTGGGGAACTTGGCCAGCATGAAGCACTTACCTTTCTTCACCACCAAGCCTTGTGATGCTCCAGCATTATGTAAATGAGAGGTCTGGAATAATGGACAGCCTGAATCTATTCCAAGTGTTAGAGCTCTCTGCTGCAACCAGATAGTCTTGCTGTATTCTTGCTGACTAATTGAGAATGTTATTTAGTCTTCATTGAGAATGCATTGAGAATGCAACCACCAAAAAAGTTCTACAGTAGTACAGTGGAGTCAGGAGTAGTGCCAATAGGTATTGGACTGGAAAGGTTTTATTCCAGGCAGAACTATGGCAGAGTCTTTATTTACAAATAAAATGGGAGCTGTATAGGCACATTTAATATTTTTTTTCTTCTTGACTTCATATGTAAGATTGTTTTCATACTTTTTCAAGTATTAGTCTTGTTTTGAGTTTGCACAAATTTTTTAGAAAAAAGAGTACAGAACACTGTTAAAGCTCTTTTTTTATTAGATTTTAAATTTACAAATGCTTCATTTTTTTCTTAAACTTTATAACTATAAATGCTAATTAAATGTGAGTTTATTATTAAATGTAAGATCTTGATTTCTGAACAATCCTGCTTTCTCTTTAATGGATTTTCAGTTGCAGCTCAGTCAGTAATTTCGGCTGCTCAGTTTCTCTCAACAGCTACTGTAGAAAAAATGTATCAATAAATACATCAAAGATATTCCACTAACTGACAGAATAATTCTGGGCCTTATCTACCTAATAGATTACTCTATTAATATATTCACTTCTGATCCTTTTAAAGCTGAAATAGTTGTGTATTATGAGTGTTGTGACTTCAAAGACTGGCAGAACTTGAAGCAGTAAAGCTTATAGGAATCATTACAGCATATATGGAAGAGCAGCATGCTTTCATCTTACATTATAACAAGTCATGAATCATCTAGAGAAATAACCACATAGTTTGATCACTACTCATTCATGCTTAAGAATACTACTTTCCTCCTACTGCCAAACCTAATGTGTTTGGACTGATCCATATTCAAGTTTTGTAAAATTAGAAGATGGATTGAGAAGTTTCTTGTACTAGAAATGCATTGCTCTTGCATCACCAGGATGTAGTCTCCAACTAGATTGTTTCTTAGACTTTATACCCTGTTACCATTTCCACAGATTTACTGCCCTCACAGCCTGATTAAATGTTATATCTTTTCTGAACTTTTATTATTTCTCCCCCAATCTGGCCCCTGCTGCCCTTCATATTCATTCTTTGTTTTGTCTTTTACACAAGTAGTCTTACAAGATTTTTATCTTCTCTCAGACTTCCGTCTCTGTTACCTTTAATTAAGTTCTTGCTGAACTGGTGGATCTCCCTTCTTGCTTTCATGGTCTCCTCCTTCCCTCCTCCTTCTTTTCTCATGTTCCTCTGCTACCTTGCCTCTTTCATAGTAATTAAGTTATTTCTTTTTATTGGTCAGTGACATTCATAGATCTTTTTAATCATCATAAATTAAATTAGGTGCAGTTTCATTCTAGATATTTTCTTGGCGGAACTCTAAAACACGAGTGTGAAATGGTGCTGTTGATGAAGTTGTGGGATAGCTGGTTGTGTGGCAGTCTGCTCCTGTTTTGGTGTTGTAGACTGAAGGAGTTTCTGCTTTCTTGTAGTGTCCTAGGTTCTGCCTTGAAAGTGTATGAATGTTGCAGTTTTAAGGCAGCCTGCTCTCAGTGTTATAATATCATGGTTAAGAAAGTTATGGTTTAATATACTTGGGGGCTTCTTCTAAACTACATAAATTCTCCAAACAGCTTCGTGTGCTTGTCTGATGCTTGAGTGCTCCAAAAAGGAGGACAAACTATAACTGCCTTACTGTTCAGCTTTTCTTTCATAAAAGTAGAGGCAAAAAAATAGTGTTGTGCTTTTGAATGTTTGTTTAACGCCAGTTGATAAATATTTTTCTACTAACTGTTCTGTTAAATGCAGAGGAAGGAAAACAGACTAAAAAATAACTCCCCTTTTAATGGACATCTTTGCAGGAACTTGATTTCACAGGAGCTGGCTTTTTTTCCCCTGTAGCACATGTTTATGAACAAATCATCTCTCTGTGTAGTAAATGTGTTATTTTTGAAGTCAAATGCAATGCAAAACAAATCTGGTTAGCTTATGTAGATAGTGTGAAACATCAAAGTTGGCTTGCTTGGATTGCTGATCTGCATTCTTGTAGTTTTCATTTGTGGTCAGTGGAACCATGTAGCCATGCTTGTAAAGTATGTGTGAGAAACAGAAAAAGTCTTGGAGTTCATGATACAAAGCCAAGGTAAAGCAGAACTTGGAGATGAAAGGGTGAGGCTTGGTTTTCCTACGTGAAACTGGTTGCTGCAATGAGTGGGGTTTCACTGGCATTATATGTGCTGTATAACAGCAGCATGTAGGTTTGGCATTGGAGGTAGCCCTGCTGTTTTGCCCTGATAGAAATAGGTAGCAACAGAATCCCAAAGTTTCCTCTGTCTTTTATGTGTAAAGATCAAGACAAAGAAAAGTGTGTTAATAACAAATAAATACTTTTTTTCTTTTCTCTGCAGTAAAAGAAGTGGAAAGCAAGCTTTGCAGAATAATGAGGTAATTCTTTCCTCATGTCAAATATTCTTTAATAATTTTTAATAAACCTGAGTTTTTAAAACTTTAAGTCCTATCACTGTAGTTTCATCTTGGCTACAGTGCAAGTACAGTTTGAATGATACTTTCAGATTTACATTGGTGAAACAAATGGAAGAATCAGGGTAATCACAAGAGGCTGAAGTTTGACTCCATAATGATCAATTCTTGAAGTGCACAATGTTCTTTTATCTCATATTGCCCTATGAATTTGTAAGGACCAGTGTTGTAAGATTTTCTGTATAGATAGAAACAAACAGCTGTGTGTAGATTTGGTATAACTTCTGTTTATTTTTTTATGTGAAAGAAAAATGTATGGAACAAGATGTTGAGTCTCAGAGTTACTAAATTAGAAACTACTTCAGACATCTGGTAGGAGTTTTGTCATTTCCCGGATCTTTTGTGTGTCTGTTAATTCAGTTATTTGAAAGGGATATACTAAATCCCTTTAAGCTAAGATTTTTGTTTCATGGTCAAATAAAATAGACCAAAAGGCAGAGTCTGTGATTCTGGTGTTACAATGCTATGAATAGATTCCATGTACTTATATCGTTGCTGAAAACTTAAAAAATAAAAGGTTTACACTGGATAAATAGAAGGGTGTATATTGTATTTTCTGAGACCCCCAACGAAGAGAGAAAATGGTGAATCTGATTCCATGTTCTTAGAAGGCTACTTTATTATTTTATGATTCTATATTATATAAAAGAGTTCTATACTAAACTGTACTAAAGATAACAGAAAGGATACAGCAGACACCTAGAAGTGCAGGTCTACTAGTACTGTACTATTGCAGTTTGTTTTGATAGCTCCCAATTCCTTATTTAACTTGTCTGAGCAAGACTTAAGTTGGCAGGGAATATTGCAAATTCTGCAGAAGGAATATAGCTGTAAATGATTTGGGTAGGGAAAATATCACATCAACAGTTCAATAACACAAAAAATTCTCACTTTTCTTGTTTTGTTCTGTGTGCAGCAGAAGGAGGGAAAGAAGGAGCGAGCGATGGTGGACAGAGTGTTTATTGCACGAATATGTCGAATCCTGAAAATAATGGTCCCTAGAACACTGTGCAAAGAGGTAAGCATTGCCTGCATTAATAAATAAAGAAATAAAGCTGGAGTCAAGTCTCTTTTGAAATTACATCAGAATTTAAACTGCATATACATTACTTAAATTGGACTAAATTGTGCTATGTATTTTAAAGTAGCAATGTAATAACATAAAAGTCTACATTATGCTCAGTTGTTGTACCACTAAAGGTTCTGTTTTCAATTACAAGATAGGCCATTTACTGTCAGCTGCTAACTACTGTTGTAGCATAACATTTAAAGGGGCATCTTGGTTTGTCTTATACAAGGCAGTACACTTCTGTGTGCAAAAATTTCCTGTCTTTAAATAGGATGCAGTTCATTCATTATTTTGATTTAGTAACTTACAGCTAGGCCGACCTGTATTAGAAAATGAATTTGTCAGAAGTTCTCTTCAGCATCATTTCAGGAAAGCTATGCAGTGTAGAAATCGATGCTTCCATCTTTTTAGGCTTTCCAGGGCAATTTTAAAAGAAAAAAGATCCAAAGCATTAGTTGAGCTTGGAACTTAAGCAATGAACTGTAAGAACTTAAACATACGTCAGGCACAAGAGCAGTGAATTGTGATGTCCAGAGTGTAGACCAGGGGCCTTCAGCAGCCCAGCTACAAAAAGGAGGTGCACAGAAGGTAGAAGCATGGATGGAAATGCCTGTGGGAGTGCTCACAGAGCTGGCATTTATCAGCTTCAAAAAGTCAGGGCCATTAGAAGAGGTCATGGATAATCCCAAAAAAACTCAAACCTTGCTCCCATATTTGAAAGCAAGTTTACTGGTCAGCCTCATCATATTCCTGGCAAGACTGTGAGCAAAACTTCCTGTAAGCTAACTCTGACCACAAAAGGGACAAAAAAGCAATTGTAAGCAACCTGGATTTACCAATGACAAATCATGTCTTACTAACCTGATTGCTTTCAGTGATGAGAGAACTGGCTGTGTGGATAAGGGAAGAACAGAGGATACTGAATACTTTGCTATCAGGTCTCCCTTAATACCATAACAGCCAAACTGAATTGGCTGGATGAGTGGACAGTGAAGTGCGTGGAAAACTGTCTGCACTCTTGGTCTGACTGGTTACTGGGGGCCCTGTTTTAAGTAGGGAGTTGAAGTAGATGATGTTCAGAGGTCTCTTGCAACCTTATGGCAGAAAGGTGTCTTAGAATTGCAGTAACTTTTTTATTCCTGCAATCCTCCATCTTATAATGTGTGTCCAGTACATGTATCAACCAAATACAGTTTTTTTTAAAGGCAAACTTTCACTGTAAAAATGTAGTCAGTACTTTACTTAAGGTACTGTATGCTAATGTATTTCCAGCAAAGTAAGTAAATATTACATTAGCTAGGGCACCAGTACTTTTCTGTTAGATACAGTTAGATGACTTGCTGAAAAAATGGTGTATTTTAGCCATTATTTACCTGTTACATTTCTGTGGTTGTACCAGACAGGTTATTTGCTGCTTATTGCTGTGATGCTGGTAGTCCGAACTTACTGTGACATTTGGATGATTCAAAATGGAACAGTCATTGAAAGGTACCTATACATTTGTTATTTTTAGACATTCTGTCATTTGTTTAACAGGGAAAGTTTTCTATCAGAATATATATTTGGACATTTTATAACTTGCTTGTTTAAAACTGTTGGAAAACTGGTGTAGTTGCAATTTGGGGACAGACCACTATATTTTAATAAACATTTTAAATTATTTTTGTTCATCAATAAAATTTTTTATTAAATTAATATTTTTAAACTATTTATTAAATATTCATTTGGTAACATTTTGTACACTGAAGACTCTAAATCTTGTTGATCTGAATGTCCAAGGAGGTACTTCAGAATAGTTGTTTTATGTGATAGCCACACAACATGTCCAAGTCTATTTGGACTTTCATTTCTTCCCACTGAGCTGTTTGCCCTTTAGGTTGATAAAAACAATGCTTTTGGTCTAAATATGTTAGAAAGTAGTTTTTAGACTTCTGATTATTCTTGCTGGTCTTGTTGCTAATTGAAGCAAGTCACAATGTGTCTTGAACTGTGAATTCAGAATGATACTGTGTTTTGAGGAGAGACATTTGGTGCTTTGTAGAATGGAAGGACTGCTTTGTTTCTCTAGTGAGAATCTGTGAAAGCAGAGAAGGGAAAGGACTGGTATTCTGTGACCATGAATTTTTGAGCCCTTAATGTGGGCAGTTTCAGAGGAGCAGACAGGAGATAACTGCTCAGTCTGCCACTTGCCACTTAGCTTACTAGAGGGTGTCAGACTGATCCTACAGCTGATGCTACAGGTTTCCATGATGATTTTGTTTTCTCTGTGTGGTCCTTTGAGAGTTTATCCACTTCAGACATGCAAGTTTATACTTTGTTGTTTCTCTTGTAACTGACTCTTAGCTGGTGGTCATTTGCAGTGCTATCATTGGCCGCAGCAGAAAAGATTTCAAGAAATACTTGTTCAACTTCATTGCTGCAATGCCTGCTGTAAGTGCTTTTCTTGTGCTGACCTATTAGTAGAACATATTTTAAATGTAAATTAAGATTTTGAGGAAAAGGTCTCAAATGAGTGTCTTAAAACCTATGGAAATTAATTGTTTTACATACAGATCTGTATGAAAACACATTTAATTTTCTGGCTCCACTATGGGGAGACTTTATCAGCATATTTCCTTATTGGTAGCAACTATTTTTTTAACAGCTATGTTTCAGGTTTTCAGGTTAGTTTTGTTGATGGCAATTTTGACTATAGGTTTGGGATTGTTTTGGCACCATTGAAGATGAAGATTTCTTTTAGACTTTAATTTTTATATTTCTTACATTTTTCACAGCTTTGTTATGCTTTCTTCCATGCTTTAACTTTCCTTCAGTTTATTGACATCTCTGATCTGCACCAGATAGAAATAATCGTTGCTATCTGGTTTGCAATACATTTTAAAACTAGTTGACAGATTTAAGGCAGTGGTTGTAAAATGGTGGCTCTTGTCTAGAGTTTATCAGAAGAGCTGAAAATATGTAATATTGAATGTATTTTATCCTAAGTGGTGAGATCCACTAGAACCTGGAAACAGAAACTTAAGCAGTCGTCCTGTAGACACTGTCTGATTGGTCTTAGGTATGTTTATGGCATTAGTGATTTTAAGGGGAGAATTGATCTGTTTTCAAGTGTTTACACAATTTATGCTGCAAATTGATGTAAGTATATTTGCTCTTGTTAGTTAAATGTTATTGTCTTTTATTTTAGATCTCTTTAGTGAATAACTTCCTGAAGTATGGTCTAAATGAACTGAAGCTCTGCTTCCGAGTAAGACTTACCAGATACCTCTATGAAGAATATCTTAAGTAAGTAACACCTTGTCTACAGGTTTTATAAGTTGATTAAATTAATTTTAAGTACACAGTAAGAAGATTGCAAGGTTGCAATTAACTTGCAGTTGAGGGTGAGTGGCTTATCCAGGCTGTATATGCCATAGATACAAAGACAGTAAAGTTGGCTGAATTGGGGGACAAAATGCACTGCACTGCTTCCATGATTGGGTCAGATTCCAAAGTACTTCAGGTGCCTTCATATGGTGAAGACTGAATTGGATGTATGAGCTTGAGCAGCTACTTCTGGACTGAAATGTGGTTGTCAGATGGGCTGTAGTAGATTGTGTGAGGGTGTTCTAAGTTCAGTAGCAGCACAGCATGAGCCTGAGCTTCAGCTCAGACATCCTGGAGCCTAAATGCCTAAACAATCCTGCAGCATTTAATGTCGGTTTAGTCAGGTAAAATCACAAGCTACGTTGATTCCATACAGTAATTTAATGTTTGCCCTACTTAGTGTCTCAGTTGTATGAACCAAGGGTGTTCCAGTTATTTCAGATCCCAGGTAATGTTGTTTTTTTTTCCTGCCACTTAGCAATTGTTTTGTTTCAGAACTTATACATACTACAAAATGGGAAATCTGGACAACAGAATAGCCAATCCAGATCAACTCCTTACACAGGATGTGGAAAAATTCTGTAATAGTGTAGTGGACCTGTACTCAAACCTTAGCAAGGTAAGTCTTTTGAGAGAGAACTTTGAGTAGTAGCTGTAGGCATTTAGGATGGGGATGTCAACTCCCCATCCTTGGAGTATGGTACGAAAAAAATTGTTTATAATGCTGTAGTGTTTCATACTCTTTTTTTGGCTTTCATGACCAAAGCGCTGCTGCAAGTTGTTATAATTTGTATTAAATTTTCTTTTAAAGAGCATAAAGCATTCTTTTGCAGATGAACAGTGATGACTTTGCTCTCTCAGGTAGATAGTTTTCAGAAGAAAAGCAATGCATTGCTCTCAGTTACACACAAATATTTTTGTGCGTAGGGAGGTGTGGTTGAATAAGCTTTTCTCTGTTTCTGGTGAGAATTTTAAGGTGACTGGGTAGTGAATGAGAATACTGTTGACATTTTTAGACTAAATGTTTTTGATGCTATCTATTTCATGCAAGCTGCATATAAGTAAACTACAATTTACTTTGTTCAAAACCTTCTGACTACAAAACCTGTAGTTCAGCTGTTTTAGCTTTGCAAGGGAGGTTATAGAACTTTGGAATATTCCTCCTATCAGGTACATAGCCAAATATATGGCATTATCTTTTCATTCAGTATTTCTCGTAATTACTTCAGTTAAGTTATTATGGGTTCTAGTCCACCTTTGATAAGTGAGCAGAGTGTCATTACAGACCTAAAATAGCAAAGTACTCTTTTCATATGGTATGTATTTATCTGAAGGTCATGATGTTTTTATGTTCAATTCTAGAGCCAGAGTTTTCAGGAAAATGTCATGTGGCTGAGAATCCTTTTGTCTTAGCTTTCAGTTTGTAAAATAGACTAGCCAGTATTTTAGTACAGAGCTGTAACTGTTCTTGGGGTGGTACATGGCTTCTGAACAGTATTATATTGGTTTTGTGTTTGTGTTCTAAGCCTTCTTTCCTATGCTTCTTGCAGCCCTTCTTGGATATAGTTTTGTACATCTTCAAGCTAACAAGTGCAATAGGAGCACAGGTAAATAAAAGGAGTGGGTTTTTTTAGAACTATAAGCACATTTTCCCTTCTTTGGTTATAGCCTTGTACCTGTTTGGAATCTGAGGAAAACTCTAGGTGGTAGTTGTTGATTCCTACATTGTTTGAAGGGCTATACTGGAAATAGGCATTTACACTTAATGTTTTTTGTGCTTTAGTGCCCTCTGTTTTGAGGCAAGCAAAATAAAAACCAGCATTTTCAGGCAGTTTGAAGGATCAAGAAAGTTCTTTATTTTCTACTAGTATTTATTTAGAAATCCTATTTAGTACAACACCCTTCTAATTGTTTATGTCTTGCATGGATTGCATTTAAAGGTGAAAATAAGTTTTCTGTTTCTGTGCAGTTTCTATGAAGGGGAACCATTTCTTGCATTGAGCTGTAAGACTCAATAAGCTGAATAATTGGAGAATTAATTCTTCAGATTGGTGAAATGATGCATTATCAAAAATGTTCAGGAGTTGAAAAGGAGTAGCTGTGGGTCACATGGTGCAAGTTTTGTTGACACAGTCTTGCAGTAAGGCTTAACTAAACCTTGGTAACTATCAGTCTCAGATGCCTTTGTTCTGCTCTCTTTAGTAGTTGTTGTGTGCAGTTTATGCCAAATTCAGTTTATGCCATTCCATGCTTCAGTGGTATTTAATCATCTGTCCTTCATCTATGGATCCATAGAACTACTTGAGAGACCAGGAAACAGAGGACAGTGGGATTGAAATATTGACTGCTTTGTGACACTTCAGCAAATGTACAGAGAAAGGAGTAGACAGAAAGGAGGGAGAAGAAATGAGAGGGTATCAGTAAATCATTAATGAAGTAATCTAGGACAGTAGGGGACAGGTCACACTGGGTGGTGATAAAAACCTGAATAGAAGGCTGGGGTGGGAAGGACATCTAGGGACAGAGAATTAGTAAAATTAGTCAAGTAGTATGTACAACACCAAAGAAGGGGACATGATGGGAATTGCAAATGTAATCGACTTGGCAGCATAGGCACATAGGAGGTGAGAACTAAGGGATTCATGCTTTCTGGGCACTTTGGATACAGATACTGTCATTTGAGACCACCTAAGCTTTTATTCTTTTTTGATTTTCCCAGGGTCCAGCTAGCATGATGGCGTACTTGATTATTTCAGGGTTTTTCCTTACACGTTTAAGGAGGCCAATTGGCAAGATGACTATTATAGAACAGAAGTATGAAGGGGAGTACAGATATGTCAACTCACGGCTCATTACAAACAGGTATACACTTGCTTGGCTGCTAAGGTACAAGTGACTGTACTGTGGGGTAAATGGAAGTTGTGTGTTAAAATATACTTGGGAAGTGTGATGTCATCAGGTTTGAGCCAAGTGTTTGCATCTTTATGTACTGTAAAGTAATTTGTATGTGCATTATATTCCACAGTCAAGACTGAGTGGGGTACAATAATTCTATGTTCTTCTGTTGTGAAAAAGTACAAGCCCTTATTTCATAAAGTAACTGAAAGTGCTATATTCCTATATTTTATGGCTTTTTCAAAGACTGTCTTTAACAAAATGAAGTTGCATTATTTTTATTTGTTTCTTTTTAGTGAGGAAATTGCTTTTTATAATGGAAACTTGAGAGAAAAACAGACTATTCACAAGACTTTCCGTAAGCTGGTAAGCCTCTTTTATTTCTTAAAACATTTTAAGCAAAACTTAATTAATTCTATTGTGATGATTCCTGACATGTACTCATAAAAATTGAATTACAGTGGCTTGATGTTTTTGCTCCTACTTTCATTTGATTAAAAAATTAGCTGGTAGGCTATAAGCAGAACAGAAGTTTCTGTTAGAATGGCCTTTCTCTAGCCACTTACCTCCTTGTCACCCACCACAATTACTCTTCTCACTATTTAGTTTCATGTGTAGGTTGTTTTGATCACAAATATAAATCTGTGCCAGCAGGGACTCTTGTGCAGTGCTTACCACACTTAGTGGCATGTTAATATATCTGTGGTACTGAAAAATAATTGTTTGGAACCAAATGTCTAATAAAAGATAGTAAAACAGGCAGTGATAGAGTTTGAACTTCTTTCTTCTGTAACTTACCAGGTGGAACACTTGCATAATTTTATCCTGTTCCGATTCTCTATGGGTTTCATTGATACTATCATTGCCAAATGTAAGTATGTCTCAAATGCTAATGGATTCCTATAAATAACATAACAAAATTTTTACATAATAAGTGTCTTTTTTTACTGTTTCAATTAATGTGCAGCTTAATATTTATTCTTAAACTGCAGACCTTGCCACTGTGGTTGGCTACCTGGTTGTTAGTCGTCCATTTTTGAACCTGTCTGATCCCCGCCATCAGAATAGCACTCATGCAGAACTTTTGGAGGTAAATAGACCAGAATTAAAACAACCTCTAAATTTTAAATTTTGTTAGTCCACATAAAGAAACTTTTCTTCTACTGTAGGATTACTACCAAAGTGGAAGAATGCTACTGAGAATGTCTCAAGCTCTGGGCAGAATAGTCCTAGCAGGCCGTGAAATGACAAGATTGGCTGGGTAAGTTTAATAGTGAGAATCTTTCTCATCTCAATTTCAGAAACTGATTTTAGAATTCAAATAAACTTATATGCTTTGTTCCTTGCAGCATGCTAAAATTTCAGCAATTAAAAACATTTTATGCTGAAAACACGTCTGAAGATGTGCTATTATGTCCACTAGAAATTTCACATCTTGATAGTGCTAGCATGCAGTTTGAATGTATAGCTGAAACCTTGTCAAATGCTCTTAAGTCAATTATGTATTTATTATTTGCAAAACTTTTTTTTTATATTGTAAGAAGTAAAATTTGGCAATTACAGGAAAAGGAGCTTTTAAAATATGGTGCATATTAGACAACCTGGTGCAATTTAAAATGTAAACATTCTGCTTCTGTGCTGAGTTGAATAACTTTGTCATTTTAGCAGTGTGACAGAGTGCTTATTAGACCTGTGGATTTTTTTTCTTAAGTTTCACAGCTCGAATCACGGAATTAATGCAGGTTCTCAAGGACTTGAACAGTGGCAAATATCAGCGTACAATGATATCACAAGAAAAAGGTAGATGTGGTATAATATTCAATATGTCATATCTGTGTAGCATTTCAGTCACTAATACGTTTTTCTTTATTTAAGATGGAGATAAAAAGCAGCCTTTGTCTTTGATACCTGGATCTGGAGAAATTATCAACAGTGATAACCTTATCAAGTATGTTTGTGAAGTTTCCTCATGTTCAATAGTTCAGTATTTTTAAAGTAGACTTCTTTAAAGTCTTTCTCTCTGCGACCATTAATAGAGAGCTGAATACCTGTTATTACAATTTGCAGTTCCTGTTGAACTTTATTTATTAGTAATCCCACCTCAGCATTTCTGTTCTGTAAGCCAGTCCTATCCACTCATATTAGTAGAATGCATATTCTACTCTCTGAACTTGGGGTTTTTGGTAACATTCCTACTGTCCTTTAGAATATGACTTCTCAGACCATCTTGTTTCCTCTTAGGAATATATTAGTTATGGATTTTATTCTATTCTATTATTCAAACAGGCAAGGGGGAGGTGAGCAGAGAAGGCATTCATTGCATGTTGTAGAACTAGTGAGATACACTTCACTACTAGGTTTAAAATGCCATGCATCCTTAAATGTAGGTTTGTATCCACAAGATGTTCTCCTGTTTTGGAAACCAAAGGCTGAGAAGGACTCAAAAAACAAATACAGGGGATGAAACCATGCCTGTAGATGTAGATGTTTAAAAGCTAGAGTTTCAAGAACTTCCTTAGCTGTTCATAGCTGGAAACTGGGGGAGTGAATGAAGTACTGGTGAGGTGTTTCCCAGTGCCTTAAATCTCCCAAGTAACCATGCAGTATTAGCTTCTTTTAGACAACTGTTGTTTTTTTCTTTTTTAACTTTGCAATACATACAGGTTTGATCATGTTCCATTGGTGACACCTAATGGAGATGTTTTGATTGAAGACCTTAACTTTGAGGTAAGTTTTTTAGTATCATAGGAAACAATATTAATGTAAAATTTTCAAGGGAAGACGATAGCTTCGAAGGTCATCCTGTTTATAAGAAAAGTACAAACAAATTGTCATGTTAGTTAAAAAAAAAAAGGCAATAAGCTATTTTACCCAAAAAAGTTTTTATTTTTACAAGTTCATTTTCTTCCAGCTGCAGTTGCTGCTAAACCAATTGGGGAAAAACCCTAGTTTTTGCTGGAAATTGGTCATTGTAATGCCAGAAAGTTGTGAACAAGCATATGATAATACCAGATTGTCCTATTGAATGTAGAAACTTTCAGCAATACTTTCTCACTACCCTTTTATGTGTTGGCTTTGCAATTTTAGGTTCGATCTGGTGCAAATGTGCTGATTTGTGGGCCAAATGGGTGTGGGAAGAGCTCCCTGTTCCGTGTTCTTGGTGAGGTAAGGGAACTTTATGAAACAAACAGGGGAGAATGCAGGGCATGGTTATATTTGGACTTTTTTGTCACATTTTAATCTTTTTCTCTTTGCAGTTGTGGCCATTGTTTGGTGGACGTTTAACAAAACCTGTGAGAGGGAAGTTGTTCTATGTTCCTCAGGTGAGACCAAGTACTTTACTCACCAATAGTGTTCTCTTTCTTTGTACTTTGACTATATTTGGAAATATTTGACATATCTTTTTGGTTCTAATTGTATCTCAGAGACCATACATGACTCTTGGAACACTCAGAGATCAAGTTATATATCCAGATACTTTGGAAGATCAGAAAAAGAAAGGGATTTCTGACCAGGTAATGATAATTAGTTCATTAAACCTTTGTCTTGCTCAGGATGAGTAATGCTTCCTATTCAGAAATACTGAAACTGCTATGAAAAGCACTGCATTTAATAGGACTTTAATATTTACCAGGGTTGATAATGTTATGGTGTAATCCTTTTTAGCTTTTTCAACCACTTGTGTTTTAAGTTCATGTAAGCTTTATTTGTCATTCCTGTTTCCATAAAAGGTGCTGAAGGAGTACTTGGATAATGTCCAGCTGGGTCCAATCTTGGAACGTGAAGGAGGCTGGGACAGTGTTCAGGACTGGATGGATGTACTCAGCGGGGGAGAAAAACAGAGAATGGCAGTATGTCTCAAAAGCATAAGTGCTTAACAAATGCAGAACATAAGTAAAAAATAAAATCTGAACTGTAAGCTATTTTTATTTATGGAACATTAGTATTTGACTTAGAAGGAAACCCCCAAAATGTGAAAAACCTAAATACTGAGGGAACAAATGGAAATAGTGGGGTTTGTACTCAAAATTTAAAAGGAAATACTGGCTTTTAAACATTGTCTCGAATAAAAAAAGCATGAGATAATGTACAACTTTTGGATTTTCAGGTTTCAGTGTGTAGCAACTTAATTCTCTTTCCATAGTAGATTTTTGGACACTAATTCTTAGTTTAACTTCTAACACTGCACCATTGCTGGTAGTTTTGTATCCACAGTATCCTTAGTATCCTTTTTTTGGCTTGTGTTCCAGATGGCAAGGCTGTTCTATCATAAGCCCCAGTTTGCAATTCTGGATGAGTGCACCAGTGCTGTTAGTGTGGATGTAGAGGGCTACATTTACAGCCACTGCCGAAAGGTGAGCTCTTTGTTTCTGGAGTTATCTCTCTGTACATTAACAATAAACCTGAAATGGTACAAGGTTCACTTTTTCTTATGCCTAGTGCAGACTAAAAATAATTAAAAAAGAAATCTGGAAAAAAGCTTAGAGGGGCATACAACTTCATGCATGCTAGAATTCAGTAATCATTTTGCAGTCCCAGGATAATTTAGATGCACGTGTAGCCTCTATGATATACACAGAACTCTTACTGACTGCTAAGTAACCTTACTTTTATAGATAGAGTCTTAGAATAACCTAAAATTATAGCATGCTTTCTTGTTCAAAAGGCTTCTTTTGGCCAGGGCAACAGAAGTGATACTGGGAAGGTCACATTTCCATCTGTTTTGAGATATGAAAAGCCAAGCACTCTAGGAAGATATGATTATATAGCTTTGTGTTTCCTTGTCGTCTTAAACTCACTATTTCAGATTCTCTGTAGTGCCATCAATAGTGAAATCAGTAAGATTCAATTTCACACCCTAGTCTGGGAAAGAAAGGGCTTGAAATGACCTTAGTTATTGAGTAGCAGTATTCCAGAATGATAAGGAAGCAAAGCTGTGCAGCCACTGAAATGTGCTTCAAACTGAAGGAGCCCTCTGCAGTAGTGAATGGACACTAGGTGAGGACTCTGCAGGAGAAGGAGCATTACTTCATGAACTCATTTTACTACATTGGTATCAATACCCTGACGATTTTTAAAGCCTATTTTCCATATGCTTCTTATTCTATAAACATGAACATTCATTTGTGCTTGCCAAGTGGCTAGTGCATGTTGCTGAAAAAATAGAATTCCTGGTTAGGCTGTCCTTGCAAAAAGAAAAAATGTTATCTTGCTTTATCATCAGAGTCATTTTGTCCTTGCATCCCTTGTTGGGGATGAATAGTTGGCTAAGTTGAAAGGAAACAAAGGAAGGTTATTCACTTTAAATTGTCACTCTAAGTGTGTAATTGATTACTGCTTTTGTGGGCTTGGAAATTTTTTTTTGTTGTTAAAATTCCTTTATTCACCAGTTGTATTGTTTTACCTGCTTCCTGCCTTGCCTCTTTTACTCACTTAATTCTATGTTTGACAATCTTTAGGAGCAAAAGAATAGTGAAATCAATTAAAAATTATAAATCCCTCCTGATTGCTTCCCCCCCCAGCAAAATCTTGAAATAAAAGCTATGTATGTGTAGTGTTAATAATAGCCTGGAAGTTTGTGGTTATGCATTTAAGATCTTCATCTGATACAATACTGAAAAATTATTAACACCTTAGCCATGAGAAGAATTAACTGTTTTGTGGGTATTTTTGTCATATAGGTTGGCATCACTCTCTTCACTGTTTCTCACAGGAAGTCACTCTGGAAACATCATGATGTATGTAATCTTGTCTTTATTAAGAATATTTCTGGGTTTTATTGACTGACTGTAGGAAATTCACTTGGTGATTTGAAGTATTATCGTTTTACATCCTAATAGGTTGTGTTACATTTGGGTTTTTATAAGGTATTACTTTTTAAAATCTCATTTTACTCTTTGAAATATTCTTATGCTTTTAGTTATGAAAGAATGCTATCCAAAAAATTTTATTGTATCTATAAAATATGAGAAGCTTGCTTAAGTCTTCTTTCTTAGACTCAAAAAAAATCCTTGAACTAGAATTCAGTAAACAGCATGGTTTTTTTTGCTTTCATTTTATCTAATACATTAATACTTTTAAAAGTCTCTAAGGCAAGGACTTTTTTATTGCAAACTAAGATTTTACTGTGCTTTTTGTGCAGACAGACTGTACCTGTGCATAAAAATACTGAATTCATACATGGGGATGAATCTGTGCCCCACAAAACCCAAGAGAACAGGTCTAGATATGGCTGTTAGCAGACTGATGTATGATATGCAAAAATACAGTTTAACTTTTTTACCAAGACAGGTGAATTTAATGACATGTGAGGTGAGAGCACCTTACCCTCTGAGTTTAAATTTACCCTCTAAAACTTTTCAAACATTTTTTTAAATTTTAAACATTATCTTTTAAAAATAATATTTTAAAATTTTAGTTATATATATTATAAATTTAAAGTACATATTTTAAAATTATATTTAAAATATAATTTCTTTTGGTCTTTATAGAGCTGGTAATTTTTAGTTAATAACATATGTTGTTTTTTTCAGTTCTACTTGCATATGGACGGCCGAGGAAACTATGAGTTCAAGAAAATAACTGAAGACACAGTTGAATTTGGATCTTAAAGTCATGAACTGAACTGCTAGAAATTGATGATTACAGGAAATGTGTAGAATGTCAGACAATGTACCATAAAATTACTCAGCTTGTTAAACATTTACTATTATGTAGGATATTGCTAATTGTGTATATGTTGGTGTAATTATTGATACGTACTAAGAATGTCCTTATTCTTGTGGTTTAAAAACCTGCCTAAATTAAATTGGGCTTAAATTAGTGTAACCTGATTCATCCTGGGATGCAAACCATTTGAAATCGGCTGATTTGACTTTTGTAGACCTTCTTTCCCTTCGGTGAAAAGCCCTGTTAAAATTAGGGTTGCTACCTCTCTTGTTCCTGCAAAGCAGTCTTGGATTTTTGCTCTGTTCTATGCATGTTTCAGAGAGATCTCGCATGGTGCAGGACATTGTCCCATCCTCAGATCTGTGCCCTGTTCAATGAAAGAGCCTTTTCCGTGTCCAAGCCTTGTGATGTAGCCAATGTGCCCTTGCTGAAAAAGGATGAACTGAAACTAAAAGACAAAACTAATTCCTTCTGGTGTTTAAAAAAAATTACAGTTGTTCTTTGCTGGGATTTGGATTTGTCTTTGACATCTGTCTGTCCATGCAGTTCCCTCTGCAGCTCAGCTCTCATTCTCTCCCAATTTAGCAAAAGCTTCCTCTGTCTCCCAGCCCAACTATCCTTTTTCTGACAAAGAAATATTGTGGTAATGAAGAGTTGAGAGGAGGTTGAGGGAGGAAAGGACTGACCCACAAGAAAAAACGGGAGGGAAAGAAAAGTGACGATCCTTGTATCAAAGAAGCTTGTGAATGTTTTTAGCTCTGAAGAAACGAATGACTCCCACAAGAGGGAACAGAGAAAAGAATGTGGGTCCAGTCTTTCATCAAATCCGTAGAGGTTATAATGAGCTCAAAAATGTTAATCTGTCCTGTAATACAGCAGTTACTTTTTCCAAGTTCCTCCTTTCCTCCCTCTTCAAAAAAATTTGATGATCCTATAGTTTTAGCTGCCCTTCATGTCTGAATTTGAAAGCAAATGATAATGGTACTCTCTGTTTGGTCTTCTGGACTGTGAAGCCTGAAACAATGCTTTCATTCTTCATGTTTATTCTCTTGACTGTCATGATGTTTCTTGATTTCTGTTACAAATTATTTACTAATGATTCTCTGTGTTTTGTAAGGATTTCCAGTCCTTGCTGGTTTTCTTGTTCCAGCTTCCAAATCCCCTCAAAGGAACCAAATTATTACAATAGTTTACTGTAGTTGTTTTTTCCATACAAATGATTACTGTGGTTGTCATTTGACTTTGACAAGCATAAATACAGCAAGGTGTTTTTTGTGATCAGGGAATAGGAAGGTGTAATTCAAACTGAATTGCTGTTTAGCCTTTAAAACAAAAAAATTACAATACCTGTTGTACAGTGAAGGTCTAGTAGTTTTTTAGTGTTCCATGTAAGATATAATATAGGAATGCACTACATGAAGGCATGCATAAAATATGCAATACATCTGTACTTTGTGCATCTTTTATCAAGGGTTTAGATTTTAAAAAGCCCCTACTTTTTATAAAATGAATATGTACTTGGATGCACTGCTGTTTAATTTTTACCCAGTTTAATTAGAAAATTTCTTTCATGTTGAAATTGCTACCTGTTAATATTTTTCCTTTTATCATAGTTCTTGCCCCTACCTGTCAGTATTCTTTCAAAGTACTCAAATGCAAACAGCTGTCCCGGTACAAGAATCTAGTGACCACAGTGGAATCTGAGTATAATGCTTCAATGAAGATCATAAAAGCTTCTCTCTCAAGTACAGCATATTCCAGAGAATAAGGTACCAGAATAACTTTTGTGCTTGTTTTACAGGAAGGCAGATAGGTGCCTGATTTCACTAATCTCTTGGTTCTGTTCCTTCAGGTTCTCACATCAGCCATAACGTAGCAGGTAGCAGCATGCTGTGTGTGAGGTGTAGTCTTTTTCAAAGTGTAACCATAGGGACAAATAGGGATGACAGGTTGGTGTAGGATGGTTTTTTGGTTTGGGGTTTTTTTTGTCAAAGTTCTCAGCACAAATGCAACTTCTTCTCTTCAGAGGGATGTTTTAGTAATCTTTTAGAGAGACAAAGAAAAAATTCTCTAAACTGAGAAAGTTGCTATGATCTTTGTGATTAGGGCAGTCTTGCAGTGGAGTAGCGAACTTGGACTACTTTAATGTGTTTTTAATGCTAACAAGTAAAACCATACACAGCACACTTACATTGCCCCCAGCAGCCAATCCCAATTGTACTTTACAATTTTACTGGATGTAACAGAATTTTGTGTAATCCTGTATTTATTTTTTAAACTAACAACAAGCAAACAAAAAAATCCATCTTCAAAACCAGGGAGGAATAGGTTTGCCTTTAGATGCTATGAAGTTTGTTGAAACTGAGGATGCTGGTATCTCCTTAGGGCCAGGACTTGGTGTTTCTAAATATACTGGAAGGGAAAAAATATTCTCTGCTTGATTGTAAGGGAGGCTTATAAAGAAAATATAAAAAAGAATAATATTTTATAATTATATTATTGAAAGGCCTTACAATTAAGTGTTTGAGATAGACTTGATCTAATGAGAGATTGTAAAAAAAATCTAATGGAAATGATGGAAGTCTTAGTTCTGTTGCAGAATTGCACTGTGATATTGTATTTTAGTTATGTTTCTTTAATAGCACAAGTTGGAAGTTCATGAAGTGGAATTCTGAACTACCTTAATAGACAACACACTGATGCATACTTTCAGTCTCAAATTGCTGGTGCTTTGAAGATGGTACTGGAAATAGTCAGATGGCTGCATTTCAACGGTGGGAAACATTCCTGTGTGTAAATACTGTAAAGTGTTTTGGAGGGGGAAACGGCGCTATGTAAATGTAAGACATTAAGTGCCTCTGAAATAATAATAATAATAAAAATTCTAAAGATAAAAGATATCTAGGCTTTTCATGTTTCTTAATGATGTGATTAGGAATTCTGTAGTAAATGCATATGCAGCAAATGCTGAGTTGCTCAATGAGCCGATGGTCTTTGTGTTCAGCTTTGAAAAGCTGCAGTGCTGTGTGAAATTTGCTCTGGAATCAGCCAGGTGATGCCATCCAGTTTAGGCTTAACCAAGTACATGAGCTCAGTTCTTGAAGACACATGCTTAGAGCAGTGGGATTATAGGTGCATTAATCTGCTCTGGGTCTGCACTGGATTGGCTCAGTTGGCTGTAGCCTGGTGCTAATAATGTACGAGCCATTGACCTAAGAGCTGGACTTGATCCTTCTGGGTCCCTTCCAGCCCACAATATTCTGTGAGCCTGGCCCCTCCTTTGTCTCCTGGCCACTTCTTTTCCCTGTGTTGATTTTAGAAGGGCCTGAATAAGATTAACATAATATCAGTATGTAATTCTTGTGAGTGCTCCTTAATCTTTTTATTTTGGGGATAGTAAGTTCATCTTCTTCCACATTTATTGTATTTTTAATTTTTAGTTGTTTTCCTTCGTTGTGGTAGACATACCAGCTATCAGGATACTTAAAACATGGTAATGTAAAAGTGCAGCCAAAACATGCTTGAATTGACTGATTTTCAAGTGATCAGTGTTTTCTAATACTAACAAGTATGAATCTTTTTCTTTTCTTACCTGAGATTAGTTGTGCAACAAGTGTATTGTAAAGCATTCTTAAAGGGTAGACCTCCCTTTGAAGGAAAATGTCTCAACCAAGAATGCAGTCTTACAAATCAAAGTGTTGTTCAATTAGGTTGATGAGTTAGAGGAGGAAAGAAAGGAATTTCTGTGTTGTGGAGGGGATGTTTAATACGTAAATTTATTTTTAGATACATTAAGATATAAGTTAAAATCCATTATTAAAATTAAAATTTAAATTTAATTGTCATTGGTACTGTGAGATGTCCATAGAAACATCCATGGTAATGGTCATCTGAAATCCCACTGCAAAAAATAGTGGGGTGAAAAGGTTGGCAAGGTTTTATAGAGAAAATAAACCACAACTTACATCTGTCAAGAAAATCAACAGTGTACAAGTTCAAATTTCTGCTTACAAGGCTGCTGTTCAAAGCAGTTATTTCTATGTATAATCTATTTGCTTCTTTCTTAGGTGTACATAGCCAGATGGTTTGTGCGAGTCTCTTTCCTGAGCATGGAGAGAGGTTTCTTGATTTTACTAATCAGGGATGTGCAGCTGTGTCAGGAAGAGGTGGGTTGGCTGGTTTTCTTTCCCTTCACATGTTGTTCTTCAAGGTCTGGACACAGTCAGGTTTTTATGATGATGCCTGAAACTTCACTGGGAAGTTTAAAGTGGCTGTGCACATTGCAGGTCCCTATGTTTGTTTATGTTCTGATGAAACCCATCCTGTCACGTGTACTCGGAGGATGAAACTGGTTTTATTCAACCCAAACCATTCTATCATTCATCTTGAAACAGAAATATAGCCAAGTTAGGTTATTATGAAAGCAGCTTGTCTTTCACGTTAAAAATCTTAGAAAAAATGTTATCTTCAAAGCCTTCTTTGAACTTCTGCATAATTTTCTTTGCTTGAATTCAAAAGCAGAGTCAGGTGACAAATAGCCTGGAACTTCACAGACAGAAGCTGTTTTAAGGGAGTAATTTGGAAAATACAGTAAATTTAGGGATTAAATAGGAATAATAGGCCTAAGCAAATTCCTTGGGGATTGACTTGGGAAACTGAAGACATTTTGCCAGTAATCCTGCAATGAATGCTACAATGACAGAATAATCATCCAGTTGGCATTTTTATATGGGAGAAAAGGCAAACTTGGACACTCTACTTGTGTGGGGGTCTATCTTTCACAAACCAGACTTAATCACAGTCTCTCTTACACCGCTTAGAAACCTCTCTTAGTGACCTTTGGCAAGTCTGAACCATGAAGATTGAGCACAATTGCTTTTACTGTGAAAGGAGCACATTTGTTGTAATGCCCAGCCCTGTTCCCTGCTCTGCTTGTCCACAAACCAACATCCTTTATTTCCCACCCATCTCTCATTTTGGGAAACACATGATGAACCAAAATAGAACAGAATTGGAAAAATGAGGTCAATTCTGTCTAGACCAAAAGAAATGCTGAGACTGGTTTACTTGGGGAGAAATAGGGAACTCCACCTACGTGACTAAGCAAATTTTCTCCATTAAAGTGACTTAAGAGTCTGGCCTAAATCAAAGCTAATTTTTTAATGCTGATTATTGAAAGTTTGGGGGAGGCTGCTTTGAAAGACAATCCATGTGTGCAATTGAAGAGGCATTCTATGTAACCAAATATACTCTCAATCTCCTTACCCTGAGTGGTTTAGTGCAAGTAGGTCCTAAAAAACAATTGACTACTTTTAATCACTGTACAACAATGACAAGTGTAAAGGTGCTCCCCAAAATAAGCTAATGTTTCTTTAGCTTAATTTACTTAATTATAGTATTTTACTGCAGGAATTTGTTGGCACAAAAGCAACAGCTAAACACAGCTATGTCAGAAGTAACTGATGGGACAGATGTGGTAACACTGAAAGATGAAGTATCTATAGAGGGATTAATGTGTTGGGGAAAAAATAATGGTTAAAAAGCAAAGCATGTCTGCCAGAGGATTGTTAAAACTTGGATGCAATATTATGTATTGCAACAAGACTTCTCTGAAAAGCCAGGAACCATATGCAAAAACTTTTTGGAGCATAGTGGGGAATTAAGGGTCAAAGTCATATTGCAGCCCATCAATGCTAACTAGATTAGGAAAAAAAAACCTTTCAATTTTTTTCAATTATGAAAATAGTTGTGGTGGAACTTTAGTAGGGCTGTGTCTGACAGACAGTATTAGCTCCTGCAGGC